CCTCTTTGGCATATCCTATGTAAGTGTCCTTTACATGCTCCTCCTCCCTAGGAAGATGACAGAGTCTCCTAGAAAACACCAAGAGCTTACTTTGTTCCATGTTGTTTCAGACCGGGTCAGACATCTGTGGATTCTTTCAAGATGCTCAGTATGAGATGTGTGTTCGCTGGATGCAGCTGGGTGCCTTTTATCCCTTCTCCAGGAACCACAACACCATTGGGACCAGGGTAAGATGCCAGCCTCTTCATCTATCCTCTACCACTGAAATCGCCACCTCAGTTTCTCTGTATATTCCTACTGTCTTTTTTCTCTGATACATCTTCCAAACCATTACGTCCTCTTTTTATAAACAATATTCTTTAATACTTATTTTAGTGTTTTTTTGGCTAGAAACTCTTTTCCACTGTATACCATAAAAAACAATTTTAGATTTTTTTTAAATTTGTGAGAGAATTTTACTTATTTTTCCCAAGCCATTATTATTATTGTAGAAGTATCTCTAGTAATCAAGTTTATTATATGACAGTTTTGTGTCATAATACGGAGTTTCATATAGCCTAAGTGACCTTTTATTCTTAGGTGTGTTGAGTGGTCTTTAAAATCATTACTTCTTCTGCTTTAGAGACAAGACCCTGTATCCTGGGATAAAAACTTTGAGGATATTTCCAGAAGTGTGCTGGAGACCAGATATACTCTGTTGCCATATCTTTACACCTTGATGTACAAAGCCCATAAGGAGGGCAACACAGTTGTGCGGCCTCTTCTCCATGAGTAAGTGTCAAACAGGAATCCTGTTGTTCAGTGGGCAATTTGCTTATCATATCATGTTGAAGTGGACCCAATCAATTTTCCACATTGAAGTAAGTCAACTTTTGTATGAATGCTGCAGACAGAGTATCTTTATTGTTCCTCTTACTACAGTATCATACATAATACTTGTATCGGGTATAAGGCATTTATTGAACTCAAGAAAGGAAACTGCTGAGCACAAGATTTTTTTCTTTTGTGGTCCTACAAAGACTTTCCTATTTGGTGTTGGAGTTTTGTTATGTGGACTCTGACCAGAGCAAGTTTGTATAACCTAAGTGGACATTCCACAGAGAGATGGCAGGTCAAAGATTCTTCTTTGCATTACAGTGTGGAAATGAAAGATGCTTTGTAGCACATAATGTCTTTCTGAAGTTTGACAAATATACCATGTGGGACATTGGTTCTATGTGATCCTTATCAGTCTTGTAATGTATAAAAAAGGCAGAGGCTGTAACTTTCTGGGGATTTCATTGGAGCACTTCTTCAGGAACCTGCTCTCAGGCCACACTGGGTTCACATTGGTGCCTTTCTTTTCCCTTTCAGATTTCTGGCAGACCGGGAGACCTGGAACATAGACAAACAGTTTCTGCTGGGTCCAGCCTTCTTAGTCAGCCCTGTGCTGGAGCTTGTGAGTATGGAGATCTTAGGGGACAAGGATTCCACTAACTGGCTGGATGAGTGGAGTGACATGGAGTTTGGGAGAGAGGGTTCTTGAGAGATGGTTTCTTACTCTACATTTGCATCTTCTCATATTTCTGAGCTAAATTCCACATATAGTTTGTCTGCATTTAAAGCTTTTAATGCCAGCCTAACAATTTTGTTTTCAGGACAGTTGAGAGGAAGAATAATCTTGTCCAGTAATTAAGAATATAATCACTTTCTGTGAGCTATGCTCAAGCACGGAGAGAAAAGTGTAGGGAATATAATGATTCCTTATTTTCTGTATTCTTAACTAAAATTAACTGGAGAAACAATTACAGCAATATGTGTCATCTTTTCTTTTTTTTGCCTTTAATTAATTCTTTGTTTTTGAGGTTAAAATATAATTATATTATTACCCTGTCCCTTTGTGTCGTCTATTGATACTAGTTAGTTTCCCTCTTCCTTCTGTACATGGTCTTGAAGCCAGAAATTAAGTTACTTTCTCAGTATAGTGTGGTTTTTACAAATAAAACAAATAGATAATTAAGAGATCCTCCATCTTTTTGAGCCTGCATAATTTTCTTCTGCTCTATATTCATTGTCATTTCTTCAGGAAGGAGATGAAAATATCTATAAGAGAATGGTTATTGTTATTATCTGAAGTCCTGTAACCCAAAGGGTATTTTGAAAGCACATTTTTTTAGGGTAATTTCTCTCCTTGGAAAAGGAGCATCATTTCTGTCCACATAAGACAGATAATGTAATTTTGTCTAAATATATTAGCCTTGCTAACATTTTAACTACTCCCAAATGTATAGTGGTCACTGTGTCTTAGAGAGCCGAGTCCACTTCCTACACTTTCTTTGTATTTTATTTCAGAATGCCAGAAATGTCAATGCATATTTCCCTAAAGGCCTGTGGTATGATTATTACACGGTAAGTTTTTTCTTATATTTATGCAGTGCAGAAGGTGGTAGCACACAGAGTGTCTGGGTATGATAGATGTCAAGCATGGTGCCACTTCTGAAAATCACCCTGTGTGGTCTAGATTGACCACTTTATCTTTGTGGCCTGATTTCATAACTTCTGAGCATAACCAGTTACCCTTCATGCAAGCCTTCTGAAGGAACACACAGAGCATCTCATTGGTGCCAGGCTTGCTAAGAATCTTTTTTTATATGTGAATCTAAAGCTTTGTGTTAATATCATTATAGTGCAGGGACAACAGTAGTTTTTTGGAATGCTACAGGTGTTTATAGATGTTCTTAATTGTAGTGATCTTTCCTTTCTGCATTTTATTACAAGCAAAGTCTCTGGAGCTGGAGACTTGGCCCATTGTGGAGTGGTACTACATATAGGCCTAGTGACTGGAGTTTGACTAAGAGTTTTCTTTTAATCTACACAATAAATAAATAATGTCAGTGTCTGTAGTTTGTAAGCTTAGAAGAATTTCCCTGTGTCACCATCAAAGATCAATAGTTATGAGACATATATAAATATATAAAACACATACCCACACATAGTGCAGGACTTGGATGTCTGAGCTGTTTACATGAACTTGCTAATGAGAAGCCAACAGAAGCTCTCTATGACACATGCCTGGGTCAGCACAAGCTAAGAGTGCACCTGAAAAGTTTGTTCTCCTCTCACAAAGCCCTTTCTTCATGGTATAAGGAGAAGAAAGTAACAGACAGACAAAAGTCAGATCATGTGTCAGCACCTTGGTTCACATCCCAAGTGGATTGCAGTGGGTTTGGGTCCAGGATGGATGAGGAAGAACAAGATGAATTTCTTCCTCCTCTCTGTCCTGGGAGGACCTAGTCACTCCTTCATGGTTTGTTTTTTTGTTTTTTGTTTTTTGTTTTTTTGGTTTTTTGCTCTTGGCTTGTTCTGCCTTTAGGGTGGGGATTCTCTAGGTCTTTCTTAGTAGTTAACAGTCAGTTTAAATGACTCTCACATTGCCTTTGTTTGAATGTGCTGTTGATTGCCTTCTACCCTAACCATGACACTTTATGGATATTTTGGATGTATCTGATACTGGGCCTGGACTAGTATTAAGTAGGGATAATCCGAGGACACACAAATTAAAATGGACCTGTATTGTAAGGCTGGCCCTTCCTACACATGACCTTGAGAATATAAACCATGTTTAAGATTGTCTCATAGGCTTCTTGCTAGCCTATTCTAGTGCTGACCCTGTCCAGTTAAATGCATCTTGTTGAGCACTAGGTGTATTAGTATGAATATACAGCCTTATAAAGCTTAGCATAGAATCAGTAGCTAATGTCTGTTTGCCTTAAATACTGGCATATAAGTCAATGATTGAATGTACCACATTTTAAAAGTGAAGAATGAAGGTTAATGAGGTAGTTTCATAAATGCCCAATTTTACTAATGGTGTTAAAATAAAAGGCAGTATCAGATAAAGAGGAGGTAACTGACATGGCCTGCAAAGCCAAAAGTGAGCTGAGCAAGCTTTACAGAGGAAAAAAACAACCTGCATCACTTATTTTTATATTTTTAATGTATTGGAACACAGCTAGATGTAACCTATATGAATACTCCTCACCTCTAAAGCAACAATATTAAAATACCCAGCAGGGGACAATTGTAATGTCCCTGGTCATTTTAGGATGGAGTAATGGGGCTGCTAGTGCCTTCTAGTGAACAGATACCAACACTGCTGCTCTACATCCAAAAGCCACTCTTGTGAGAACAGCCTCACAAGAAAGAATTATCTATCACTAGATTTCAAAGGAATCCATATCAAGGAGAAGGACGCCCTACTGTATTTGAGGCAGTGTAGGAAGGTTTGAGGTCCTGTGTCAGGTCAGGCTGTACCTTACAGAAGAGAGACAAGATAAAAGTGTGAATGAGCGAAGCAAATTTGGGTAGATTTTGATTGGGATGTGTAAACACTCCTAGTTCCTAATAGTTTCATAAGGAGCAGGTGACAGAAATGTTAA